TAATGAAAGTTATTGATTAGCGCTACAGTCTGCAGGCCTCATACCTGTTCTCACTCCATATTTCAGCGTGTCTCTGCAATCCACTAGGATCTGCTCCAGAGACTCAGGCTGGTCAGAGAGCTCCAGGTTGAAGCCCTCAATGCCCTCCAGCAGCTGGTGGGGATGGTGGAAGTCCAGGACCTTGGTAGACCTGTCAAAGGTCTTCCGGATGTAGCTGGTGAGGATTTCCACGACCTCCAGCAAGAACTGCATGGTTGGCTCCTCTCCATTTTTGGCAGGTAGCAGCTCTAAAAAATGACAAAGGTCATCTGCATTTATTTGTGTTTTTGAGTTCATCTTTTTTTCTTCTTTTTTAAATTATTCTTTCTGATTTTTACATGTTTTACAATTTTATTTTTATTTTTTGGGAACCTCAGGATCTCCCTACAACTTATTACTTTTATGTTTTCATTTTCTTAAACCATCAAATTCAATAAAGACATTTTTGAGAAAATTATTCTTGCACAAGAATCCAAGAATTTCCCACAGGTTTATGGGTGAATTTAGGCCTAATATATAATGATGATGTTAAAATATAACGAACATACGGGTTTTCTTTGTATTTTAAGCCTACCTCTGGCGTACAGATTGGAGAAGTCGGACTCTGTTCGCCTGAAACGCGCCTCTCCGCCGCTGTTATCGCAGGACAGCAGGTTCCTGGCTGTGCGCTCCTTGAAGGAACTCACAATCCTGCTCCTCTCCTCCAGATTGTTGTTCTTCTGCAGGAATCCTAAATATGAAGAAGAGGAGTCCGGAGGATGAAAACACTTCCCAAACATGATGAGAGCTGCAGCTTTCCCCACTATAACATGCACAATAACGAGTACTTCTGTTTTCGTGTTTCTCCAGTTTATCTCGTCTCTCCCGCTTTCTCTCTCGCTCTGTCCTTTCTCTGCCTTTATTTTGAATGAGAAGAGGCTCCCATTCTGTCCTATTCACGGACGGGTGGGGTTTGATACCTCTTTGGGAGGTTGAAGCCAGTGACATCAGCACCAAACTCCAGCCAGGCAAAAACAAATGGCTGTCGTTTAGTGAATGTAAATTCTTATTAAGACACGTTGTGCACTTTACTGTGCAGCGGAGAACACAAGTAGTCATACATTCATACGAATATATGAATACAAATAAAACAATACAGCTAAAAACCTCTGACATTTAATTCTAAATAAGAAATCGTTGTTTTTGTGTTTCTTTCTCTATTTTGGCGCGTAGTTGTGGATTCTATTTAATGACCATAACAAAAACCAGTAAAACGTGTCGGTGAAAGATACCAAAAAATAATTGTAGTGCGCACTGGTGCGTGACATTCACCAGTATGGTAGCTGTCCTTGGTTAGTTAGTGTCAGGCTCAAATGGACTCTGAAGGTGGAAATCGGAAAATCCATCCCGCATAATTCCCTCTTTAATTTCATCAGCTCTGACTCGGGCATCAATTGATGGGTTTTTGGCAGCTGAAGCATTTTTTCCCATTTTGTGTAAAATGGCGAGATGAGATTGGGGGGTGGGGGTAATTTAATAAACTGCTTAATGCTGGTTAGTCTTGCGGGTTTTTATTCGCGAGGAAGGGAATTAAAAATCTAATTAGAGCAGCAATCAGCGCTGTTTCCAAACGAGCCGCGAGTAAAACGATGCAGGCCGTGAAGCCTACAGTCATGTTTGTAGAATATTAGCTTCGATCATTGAGAGATGCAGATTTATTCAGAAAAAAAATATAATATTGGAAAAAAAGGGCGAACTTACCACATATTTTCATCCCCAATTTTCTAGTACAGCCATGCGCAACTCCACACCAAGCATCATAACCTGACATTTAAAGGAGGGAAAACTATTAGAGAAGGCCTCACAGAAAGAAATGCACTCTTTCATTTTGAATGCATTTATTTATTTTTTAGCTTGAACAGTTACACATGAAAATAAATGATGAGAAGAAAATGAGAATGATGAAGAATGCTAAAGCAAAAGAAATAGTTTCTTTGGAGTATTTTAACATTTAGCCGCACTCTGGGGGGCAGTGCTGTATTTTCAGCGCCTGTCACCGTTCATGACCTGGGCATGGACTTAAAATTAATTAGCTCTTTGATCCCATGCCAGCTTGATTGAGTGAAAAGATGCTGGTTAAAAATGCAAGCGTGGGTATACATGAGCCTGCCGGCCAGTGACAGATAGAGAATTACTGTGTTATCAAGTGCTTCCAGCCAGAGAGGGGATGGGGCACCTTGGATGGGAAGCAAAGGCGAAATCCTCGAGAAAAAAAAAGAGAAACACAGCAATTTAGGGGTGGAGGGAGTGCAGGGGTGGGGTGGTAAGAGTGGGGAGATAGGAGGAGGAGGAGGTGATCGGTCCCATTCCCACATCCCAATTTAACCCTTGCTTTGGCTCATTAGATAAATCATCGCTGGGCTCAGCTCACTGGACGTACTTTAAAAGACCCCCCCCCCCCCCCCCCCAACCCACTAGAAATGAGACAGAGAAAAGAAAAATAGAAAAATGAAAAATAAATAAATAAATAAATAAAAACAGGCTGAACAAGCATTTTCATATAGGATTAAAAGCACACAATACATTTGCAGACGTGCAGATGTATAGAAAAGCCAGGCAATGCATGGGCCTAATGTGAAGCAACCAGCGCAGTGCATTAGAGACACATATACTGCACGCGCAAAGCCATTCCTACAGGTTACCCAAGATCACACAGGACTGGAAGAAACACAGCAAAAGCTTAAATTCACCAGCATCTGTGCTTATTTCACGTCTACACCTGTTACATGATTTTAGACCCCAGACTCGTGCTTGTATCCGCTGCCAGTGAAAGGACTGCACAGTGCCCTTTCTCGAAGGCTACAGCGCTCAAGTGTGCCATTAGGAGCAATTTATTAGGGCAGGCTTTTAACAGCAACTTCAGACGCAATTTCTATTATTCCATGAAGGCACTTTAATTTAGAAATGAGTAAAAACATAAAATAATAATAATAATAATAATAATAATAATAATAATAATAATAATAATAATAATAAAAAATCCTCTCTCTCTCTCTCTCCGGTGGTGCTCCTCCGGGCTTGTCTTCCAGGCTAATCGCCTGCAGTGTGATGTTAGTAGAGGACATCATTTTCTGACAGCAGCACTGGTCTGCCACGCAGATGCCGGGAGGGGTGGAGGGGGGGGGTGAGGGGACCGTATGGTGAATGAAATGCAGCGGTGATTTGTGGCGAAGTAAGCTCTCTATCTCTCTCTCTCTCGCAAATGGCAGCGGAATTTTTCTCTTTCATGTTCTCCACCCCCCCCCCCCCCCCCTCCTCCACCACCACCCGCACTCTCTCTTTCTCTCCCTCCCTCGATGAAAATGATTAATGGCATTGCCCACAAAGTAAATAGCACACGTGAAATAGCATTTTATCTGTAATGGACCTACTTGAGCCCGGTGGCCGTAAATTTGTCGAGTTGGGATCCGGATCGCCGCCAGAAGAGGAGGGTGCAGACGCCGCCATCACTCCCGAGACCCTGTGCCAAAGTCCTCACCTCAAAAAGCCTGGTCACTTTTTTTTTCTCCTTTATTCCCCTCCCAAAGCTGTCTCTGGGCTATCCAATGACAGGGGAACAGAAACAATACCGCGTGTATGACTTAAAAAACAAAAATGTGCCTCTTCCTCTTTAACACTGAAAGAGATGCTCAACTTGGAGACTCTGTGGACGACAAGGGCACAGTCTCTCTAACAAGTTGATTTGGGGCTTCAAATTCTCAGCCCAAGCTACAAAAATAAATGTATAACTAAAACATTACCACTTTACGTTTACGCACAACTAACAGTTAACTATTTAATTAAACCCTTTCTGACAGAATCACATCATTTCAGTAACATCGCTCACTGCTCAGGAGATCTGAATGATGGTTATTTTTTTACCACAACAGAGCTTATTAATAACCCTAATTATTCTGGCTAAGCTATTAAAAATGTAAAACATTTAACCATATTGTTTCTGGATGTTAGGCCGAAAGTTTAAAAAAATATGCAAATAATATAATAATAATATTAATACTATTATTTATTTATTTATACTTTCTCCAATTAATATCATGGCCTTATTGGTAATCAGTCATTAGCTTGAGCCACACTAATATCAATGACAAATATTAGTTCAAGGTGATCATTCCTCTCACCGGCCCAGGTTAAAGTCAACCCACGGAAATAGACGACGTGCATCTTCATTCCCTCCCCCCATGCGGTTATTAAAGATTCAAATATTATTTTTATATTCGAAACCTTTTCAAAAATAAAAAACACAAATACGTGCAATTTGCGTGCAAACTGGGCCAACGTGTAATTTAAACCTAGAAGTGTCAAAGGAACCTCTCCCGCTTTATAAAAACACCTGTTAGAGCATCGATGGCAATAAAGGAGACTTTTGTTGCGTGCTGGCTTACTACAGTAAACCCTGAAAATGAAGAATGAAGCCACTTACCGCGTCTATGTGTGTCCAGGTGAACAGGTACAGTCCAAAAAACAAAAAAGAAAAAGAAAAATTTTTTGTGACTAAACTGAATCCTGGACGAGAGCCTGCCGCGCTCTTCCACTCAAACAAGACGAAGAAGAAACAATAGACCCGAGTCCCGGCTCTCCGTTAGATCCGACACAAGGTGACCTTGCTTGTGTTGATGAGACTTTGATTTGCTGACATTTAAAGCGAGCTTTGTCTTTCTTTTGTCACTGCGCACGGATGACTCACGGTGCTACCTCCAGCGGTGCAGCATATCTGTGAGGCAGCAGAGCAGTCTGCAGGTGTGACACTGAATGGCGCCGCTTTCGGCCCCCTAAAGAGCCACTTTTTTGGGGTGTGTGGGGGGGTTGCTTGTCTCCGGATCTATACAGCTCTGGTCTGAATCCTAGTCACGAACATGGAGTTGAAGTTTGATTCCGTGAGCATGAGGAGGGATCAGGATCTTTAAAGGGGGGAGGAGGGGGAGCGCTGCTTTTTTTTTTTTTGCGCTTGTGGAAAAAAACAAGAGGGCATCACACAAAGCGACACAATCACGAGCCTGAAACACTCATTTTGTTGCTCTTGTTTATTTATTTATTTATTTATTTATTTATTAGAACCCCACGAACACCACGAGGGATTCTTCTATTTCAGCACATCGAACGGGGAATCAATAAGAAGCCATGCCGAGCAGTCCCAACGCCACGTGTGATTAAATGCAGAACATAGAGCTGTCACAAACATCTTATTTCCACACTTTCTGTGCAGACAGATCGGTGCTGAGCGGTGAAGATGTAACCTACGACACCAGCGGCGCGCTGACACGGGCGAAAAATCCACAAGGTGGCAGTGAGAAACCAAGAATGGGTACTCCAGGAGCCCAGCACAAGTGGTCTATTTCCAGAAATACTCCATGAATCTAATTATAAACTGGCCCATTAATCTGGAACACGTCACCGTCATACGTGAAGGCACGGGACATGAGTGGACACGCACGAGGCGGCCAATCAGGAGCAAAGATCACCCACTCCTGGATTCTGGGAGATTTGTTATCCTTGTTCTTCTGATGATGGATCATCTTGAAACCGATTAAAGGTCACATCACACGCTGTGTCACGATCTATAAAAACTGTTTTTGAGACTGTGGTGTTTTCAGCACTGGACAGCTCCATTACAGTCTGTGGAAAAGGCTTTAAGAAGCCTACAGCTGCCCAGCTCTGACTTCCCTGAAGACAGTCAGGGCCAGAATAACCTACAACTACAGTCAGGGGAAGTTGAATTGCTTGAACTTTAACAATATCCACATGTCCATGTCTAAAGCATCATTGACCACTTTAACTCTACATCATGCTAATGCTAAAAGGTTCATGGATGTAGTGAAGGAGGACATGCAGAGGGCTGGTGTGGCAGAAGGGGGTAATAGGGACGGGGTGAGATGGAAGCAGATGATCTGTGGCAAGACTTAAAGAAAGAAGAAGATTTACAGGGTACAATTTAAAGTCCTCATACTATGAAAAAATATGACATTTAAGAATTTCAAATTATTACTAAGCTTTCTGCCAAACTAATAATTGGATTTATTGGATAAACTTGGATTGTGGCTGTGTGGTTGTGGTTAAAGGCAATTATCTCATAAACATCAAGAATATAAGTAAGTAGGTACATTTTATTTATATAGGACATTTAAAAACAAAGTGCTTTATGGTTAAATAAATGGTTCAGTGCAGTAACAACTTATCTGCCAACCACAGTTCAGATCAGCTGTTTCCAAGACCTTGAAACACAAAAAGGCATGTATTTAGCTTGGGTTCAAAGACAGTCACAGTTGACGCATTTCTGAGGATCATTCCAGATTCTTGGTACAGCGACAGCAAAGGCACAACCCCCTTTTTTTTAAAGAAGCTTTGACTGAAGAATGGGACAGAGTGACTGGGAAGCAGGCCTTAATGATCTTGAGGGAGTGCGTGGATGAAGTGTATCTACCACATATGCAGGTGTGGAAACATTTAAGGCTATGAACACAAACAGTCTCCCTTTATACTGGATTGTGTAACGCAGAGCCAATACAAGGCTGCCAACACTGAAGTAATGTAATCTCCCTCTCTTTTTCTTTTGGATTTTGGACTATTGTAGACAAGCAAGAGCTGACTGATTAACTCCACAGTGTGGTGCATTACAGCAGTTCAGTCTGGATGTAACAAAATCACATACAACCATTTCCAGATCTCATTGTTTTAAGAAAGATTTTAGTCTGGAGATGGTTCTGAGCTCAAAGAACCAGCTTTTGATCGCAGTATTAATTCATCTGTCGAATTTCAAATTAGCGTGCAAGAGCATCCCAAAGTGGGAAAATCTGTTTTTAATCTGTGCTTTAATAAAAGAACTTAAAGAGCCTAAGTTATCCTTCAGTCCATCAATTAATACTGGAAGGCCAAAAAATATGACCTCAGTTTTGGACCTGTATAACTCCAATAAACTGTGGGACATGCAATAATTTGTATATCCAAGATTCACTCATTGAGATGCTGCTGTGTACTTAATTATACTAACAGATTGTAAGTGGTCCCATTTTGTTCTGAGGGAAAATGCAGCATTTTTTTGTGTCCTACTCAGCACTAATTAGTTTCTAAGGATGCACTTTGCTAACCAAGCTTGCTAATATTAACTCATAACTTGGCACTTCAGCCTCTCATCCAGATACGTTTCATAACTCAGAAATGCTAAAACAAAGGCTTTAGAAGCCTTGGCTGCTGCTACTTTTAATCTTCTATATACAAATTACAGCTAATGTGCAAATAATTTAAGGTTCCTGGTTCTGAATCTACCGATTGGCTGGGGTCCTTTCTGTGTAGAGTTTGTATTTTCTCCTCGTGCCTGCATTGATACCCTCTGGGTACTCTGGCTTCCTCTCAAAGACCAAAGACATGCACGTGAGTCTTTGTCTGTATCTCTGGGTTAGGGCTAAAACAATTCAATTTCAGTTTAAATTTATTTATATAGCTCCAAATGAAAAGAACAGGTGCCTCAAGAGACTGACTGAAAACTTGTCCTGTGATATGCCCCAGCACCTCTGTCACCCTAAATTGGATAAGCAGAAGAAAATTGATATTTTGCAAATATCAAAAGCAAACAAGCTTTAGCAAATGTATAATTATTTAAAAAAAATGTACAGCATTCAGTAATTTGCTATCATTTCACTTCACTTCCAGCTTTATGCATTTCTTCTCAGTCACATCTTTATACACCTATCTGCTTCCAGGAGGTCTTTACTAAGAAGCAGCTGCTGAAGTGTTAAACAGGGAGAGTGTAACCTGAAAAGGAGGAATTATAAAAACAACAACAACAACAAATGATTAAAAACCAGAAGGAATAAGAGTTAAAGTTGATCTCCACCAGAAGCTGTTTAAACTGTCCACAAGAGGGGGCAGAATTCAAGCATCTACTATATATAGCTAAGTGAGAAGGAGGAATGAAGGAGCTTTCAAGGAGGAAAACTGTTTATCCATTTCTGTTTTTGTGGCAGTAAGAAGGAGACCGTGTGGGGTCCAGTTGCTTCCCCCTGAGCTTGGAGCTGGAAGTGAATCTCCTTTGATCCTGACTTTAGTCTTTCCATCTCTGAGTCAAGGCTGCACAGATCTCAAGTGCCACTTTATAATCAATGACTTTACCAAGTCGTACACTATAAAGTTCTCACATAACAATATGCAGACAAGAGACGAAATTACATTTAAACAGCACAGATTAATCATTTGCCATTACAGTCACATCTTTTGCTAACAGTTAAACCCAGAAAAACAACTCTTCTTTTGCCTGCAGCGAACAGACCCCTGCTGAGAGACGAAGCAAGGTGACGTTCAGCTCTTAACCTGGAGCTCAGCGCTGTGGATTAAGGGTAAAATGGGCTAACACTGCACTGTGTGAAAATCATCGTTTGATCTTATTAAAGCAGGTGAAACTATGACACCATCAACAGCAATCATAAAACTTTCAGGGCCGTAGCCAGGATGTTTAGAAGACCTCGAGCTATCAGTCCAAATCCCAGAGTTTCTCCCTCTTCTCCAAAACCAAAACGAAAGTGTTTAAAACTGCTTTTATTTCTTTCACAAATAGAATTATTCAATTAAGCATTTAATTGCTAGTTATTTACAATGCAGCATGTAAAATAAAATACTAAGTAGTTATCTTGGAATCAATGAGGAACAGCTTAATCAAAAATTAACTTATAGAAGGCCTTTGTGCAGCCCTCTATATTTAAGCCATCTTTGACCCGATTGGCTGTCCTGTGAAAACAGAAGGTTTGGACAGACTGTGGGTGGGGCTTACTGCTCAAGATAATCAGCTCTCATCAGGGAAACTGAAGCCCAAGCTTGTGGCTCACAGGTATTGGTTATATCTGCACTAACCTCATTATCTGAAACTTGTGATCTTTATAATAATAACAATAATAATCTCTGACAAAAAATAAGGAAAAAAATAACAGATCCACTTTAAAGACATCTTCTGTTAATGATTAAATGATAGATATTTGTAAATTTACATACTACTGTATGCTGCTTGCTCAGTCATTCATGATTACCTTTACACCACATGACAACATGATAACTAAGCATGCGCCATAAGTGCACCCAGTAGAGTTTTTTTCATTTAGGATGATGCTCAGCTTCAGCCTGCATCTGAAAAAGGAAGTCAGTGCAAAAATGTCCTAATTCACTATACCAGCCAGCAGGGGGCATCTTCTCTGTTTTCACAAATAAATATACCATCGGAGAGGGGCACACTTGCTAACTTGCTTTAAAACATCAATAAACACGTTTCTGATTAGTTCAGGGTCTGAGTCGATGGTTTCAAGTCTTATTTAACAGGACATGAGGTTCATTTTGTACATTTTAATCTAATTTAAGTTAAAAAAGCATAAATATTTCAGGTGTTTGTATCAACTCTGAAACTCTGAAAATGGAAACATCAAGAAAGGCTGGTTTGAGTATTTCAGAAACTGCTGATGTACTTGGATTTTCCCAAGCAACCATCCCTAGAGTTTACAGGGAATAACCTGAAAAAGTGAAAACATCCAATGAGCAGTTGCAGTTCTCTGGGCCAAAAAAACATGTTGGCTACTGCAGAGGCCCAGATTTGCATTTGGCCAAAGCCATTTCCCACATATCATTTCCCGCTTTCCTGTCTGCTCTACTATCCTGCCAATGAACGTTAAAGGCAAAAAATAAAAAAACAAAAAAAGATAAATGCCTTGTTGCTGTCAGGGAGAATGCCCAGACCGCTTCAAGCTGACATCAATACAACAGAAGAGCATCTCCGAGAGCATCTCCACACGTCAAACCTTGAAGCAGACGGGTTACGGCAGCAGAAGACCACACTGTTTCCCACTCCTGTCATCATCTAAAACTGCTTTCTTGCTCATAACAATGACTTCATTGTACTCAAAGGCCTCGACGGTTAAAAAATAAATA